GGTGGAGAGGGCATAAAAGGATAGAGGGGTTGAAAGGTTGTGATCTGTAGCATTGATCAAACCACTTTTGAGTGGGACACCCTTGCACGGGTATCATTGGATCCATAAAGTGCAAGAAAGGAGATAATCAAGAGAGTAACCAATGTATTCATTATGATGTTGCTTAAGAGGTTTCAGGATTTCCAACTAAATTTGGCGAAGTGCTGTGCCCCTCTCAGCTAAAGCAGCTTGTAGTAGTTTAGCTTCCCTTTTTGTATCAAAACAAAAGTTTGAATAAAAAACAAGCTCGGGAATAATTCTTGGGGCAGGGGGGAAGGCTGCACAGAGCTTTTTTTTGTACATATCTCAAGCACAAGGCAAAAGTGGTCAAGAGTTGTAGTCCAACAGTGCAGATGGGAGGAAAGGGGAGAGAGGCTGTCCAGAGCTCTCCCAAGAGAGTGCCGAAAGCCTGACGGGGAAAGCTGCAACAAGGCAGCAGGACCAGATGGTTTAACCCTTCTTTCCCCTTCTCACTGCCTTTGGCGCACCTCTGAAACTTGTTCAAGTACAAGCCATGAGATAGAGTAGGACTGTTAGGGACGCAATCAACTGGGACTCATCGTGACACAGTTGCCGTGAGTATCCAAACAACGGGGTAAATAAGAGACCAAACGGGGTAAATAAGAGACCAAACTAAGGCAAAGCGACACAGGAACTGAGGGCAGCTTTGGGGTTTTGAATGTTGTGAGACAGTATACATACTCACAAATTTTCTGTGGCTCTGTAGTAATATTTTCTGTTAAGGCTGCAATGAAACACTGAAATTCAGTCTGCTGCACCGCTGAGCTGATGCAGGCCTGTTTCCGTGAAGCCCAGCGTTAGCACACTCAGACTCTCTGAAATCAGACACCTAAATGTGGGTTGACTACTGCTCTCACATTCTGTATACCTAGTCCAGCTGCTTGAAGTTTTATCTGTATTAAAACACCCTGGAAGAGGATACCAACCAGTTAGACACTGTAGTCTTCCTCCCACTGCCAAGCTGCCAGAAGCTTCTTGGAGGATTAATGCACAAGCTCAGCTCCATGGGACAAACTGTGACGCTAGTTGAAGACATAAAGAAACCAGAGCACACAGCCAGCCAGGAAAAAGCTCTCACAACCGTCTACCCTGAAGCACTGATCTAAACAGCTCAAGCTACCAATGTCTGAAACATCACAGGGGTCACAGACCATAGAAAGAGATGTTAACTGTAGGTACCTCAGCATAAATTCATTCCCTAGAAATAACACAGAGGATCCACTCATGCTGCTAGTGCTGAGTGGTTTGGCAGCGAACTTAAGAGAGACATGAGACTGCACCTAGGTTTCCAGGCTCTCTTGCATTATTTCTTCTTCTGCGCATTATTGGCCAAACTACAATCCAGGAATTATTTTTCTTTCCTTATGTCTCCAGGGGCTAGGCCAAAGGGCAGAGCCACTTTGGTAGCACTAAAGCCGCCGACCTCCCTGCATAACACTTCCCTGCATGTTTCACACAAGAGGGTGATGCCTTCTTCCAGAACAGGAAACAAGCCAGAGCAAAGGGCACGTTTCTCCTCTGCTCTCTGAGCACAAGTTAACCACCCCTTCCCCCATATTTATGTGTTATAATTAAAAAATAAAGCAGTAAGTACAAGTTGCTACTGATTGAAATAGCTTCCCGTTTCCACTGAAAATTGCCACTCGAAAAATAAAGAGAAGGAAAAGAGCTTTTCAGAGATTGTGTTTTTTCACATGTGACAGGATAGCTCTTCCTAAGCCTGTACTTAGCCTGAAGTTGTGCTATGTTTTGGAAAGATAAACCCAGCAGCTGATTAACAAATGCTGCTCTCATCCTGAATTACTCAGAAGCTCTGCGGAGGTCACATTAGTACCAAATGAAATGGTTCCAATCAGGGGTATAACAGTAAATACAGATTAGTTTATAATTAGAGCAAAATTAAGCAGTCATCAGGGATGCTGATTTAAGCCTCTTGGAAGATAATAGA